CCAAGATGCAAATTGCTTTCTTCGACTCCTCGACTCTTAAATCGAAATTTATAATCGAAATTTAAATCTTTGTTCGGGAAATAATTTCTTAAATGCATTCACTGTATGGTTTCATTAAATTTTCTACTTTAAGAAAAAAAAAAAAAAAATTTAAATAGCTGCAAATGGCCAACAAAGTTGAAAAAGATTTGATGAGTATACATCTCATCGATGCATTGACGTGGAATTTTTGCGAACATTTTCCATTGGAGGACATTTTAAAATTTGTTTATGTAATCGGTTCTACAGGTAATTCTTCGTTCGTTGTATTTAATGATTCTTGCAATTTAAGAAAATTTCAAAAATATTTCTCTCCTCTCTATAAGAGGCGTTGTCTATATGTATACAACAAATAATTGACACAGGGAAACACAATAAGATCGTGAACATAATATCGAGAGAAAATTAACTCGATGGACCCTGCTGATGCATGAAAAATTGTTTACTTGTCGGACAAGAGATATCAATCATGAGACGACTATTCCGTGACCAATTTTTCAATCAGAATTCCCAGAAACATTTGGGACCCCTGGCCCTGATTTCTCGAGTTATCATGTCAACAAGATACGTATGTATATTCGCGACCAGATGGAGAAACTGTTTCTAGAAGATCGCTGACGTAAGGTCGACGAGCCCCACTACCTCGGCTGAGATCGGGCCAAGGTATCAAAGTCCCTGGCGAAGAAATTGTTCCAGACAGTCTGCTTCTTGCTTTCGAAAAGGTAAGATGACCATTTCTTCGTTTCGTTCGGACGTTGAGCAGTCGTGAATATTTAAATTGCAGTTCGTGGTACCCCATAGGGTATTGTCTTACGAGTTACACTTACAAAAGGATTGTTCGAGGATAGCCAAAAAGCTCTAGATCATTCGTTCATTCGTTGTAATCGGTTAAGAACATTTACAATTATTCTTCCATTTCGTTTTACTACCATAGCAACAGTGAATCTTTTATTACAGTTTCGTAAAAATATCTCGCGGTGTTATAAATATTCTCTGTATTGTTTTTCAGCATCAGTCTGCAAGAATGAAAGTGTTAATCATTGCCGCTTTTGCGGCACTCTGTGCACAGTCGGTGCTCGGTGCTGAACTGCACGAGCACAACAAGGTTGTCTGCTATTGGAATAGCACGGCCTTCGAACGAGAAGGTAAAATTTCTCTTCTGTCTGACAATTTCGATATCCTTACGACATTGAACACATACTTAGAAACAGTTTTTAGATGAGCAGGCAATGGAGCATTCGCTAATCTTGCTCATTCGATCGTTACCATCGAAAATGAGTACCATTTTGATTAAAATAAATTATTAGTCGAATTCTTTGTTACGTTTCAGGACCTGGAAAGTTCCAGATAGACGACGTCCGCCCGGCACTGGCTCTCTGCACGCATCTGATCTATGGATACGCAGGTATCAACGCTGAGACGTTCGAGGTCGTTCCGTTGCATCCGAATCTCGACACTGGGGCTGGATACGCTTACTACAGGCTCGCCACGCAACTGAAGAGAGACTTTCCAGAGTTAAAAATCTATCTTGGCATCGGTGGCAACGCTGATCCAGAGGAGGATACGCACAAGTACCTCGTAGCTGTAAGTATCGCCTGACGAAGACGATGATTTCTTGATGTAACATTTTCTCAACTCATTGTTATACTGCATGTAAATGGTTCTGCAATTCAACTAATTGTAAGGATAGTCTTGAACTGCCTTTCCTAAATAATTAAATCCTTTCTCTCAACTTCAACTTTGATTGATCTATCGATATCTTTTCGTGCATTCTATTACGTTTTGATCCAACCGCTCGATTCTTCCACAGACCGAGACGTCAGAAGCGAGATCAAAGTTCATCAACTCGGTGAACCGTCTTTTGCAAGATTATGGATTCGACGGTATCGATCTCGCCTGGCAGTTCCCACAAGTGAAAGTAAAGAAGCAACGCAGCACCCTCGGCTCCATCTGGCACGGCGTCAAGAAGACTTTCGGCTATGGGAAATTCAAAGACGACAAGGAAATGGAGCACCGTGACGGTTTCACCATCATGGTCCGCGATCTGAAGGCCCAACTCAGACAGAAAATGAAGGCTCTGACGCTCACCGTCTTGCCCCACGTGAACAGCAGCAGTTAGTACTTTTGGATTTGCTAATTTATTTCTAATCGTTTTTCGCTATCGGGTTGACAAAAATGAATTCGGATAAAAAAGTGTAAATGGTTTCTGTGAAATCTCTACAATTTTGAATGGGTCGAAACGACCGTGCTCTGTACTTTGTTTATTAAGAAATTGTGAACGATAACGTGACCGTCTCGATCGCTGGTCCATTAAATCCCGTGAGTTTATACGTGCACGTAACCGATAACATTTTTATCGTTTCGTGCAGTTTACTACGACGCCAGGCTATTGGCACCCAATATCGACGCTGTGCACTTGTTTGCATTCGATCAAAAGACTCCAGAACGCAATCCACAGGAAGCTGATTACCCGTCACCGATTTACGAGAGCTATGGGCGTGTTCCCGACGACAATGTTGACAGACAAGCCAGGTGAGAAGTTTGACAAATATGATATCCCTCATATTTTGGTCGTTTCAGTCATTCAAAAGAAAAAAAAAAAAAAAAAAAAAAATAAATTCGTATACTGTTCTAGACTAGAATATCTTCTAAGCGTCGTATCTAAAATTTGTGTCGGTTTTGTGGACGTTCCTTGATATCCCAACAAGACAAACCAAAAATATCCGAAAAGTATTAATTCTTCTTCAAGGTATTGGCTGGAGAACGGCACACCACCCTCGAAAATCGTCGTTGGAATCCCGACGTTCGCTCGTACCTGGAAGTTGACGTCTGACAGTCAAATATCAGGCGTGCCACCCATCGTCACCGACGGTCCAGGTGCCGAAGGGCCGCACACTAACATGCCGGGTCTCCTTTCCTACGCCGAGGTGTGCTCCAGATTGACGGAAAGCGCCGTTGGCCGTTTGAGACGCGTTGGTGATCCTTCGAAGAAGTATGGCAGCTACGCTTTTCAACCATACGACGGAAACACTGGTGCTGATGGAATCTGGGTTGGATACGAGGACCCTGACACGGCTGGAAACAAGGCAGCCTACGTGAAAGCAAAGGGCCTCGGTGGCGTGGCCATTTACGACTTGTCTTTGGACGACTTCCGGGGCATTTGCACCGGAGACAAATATCCCATCATCAGGGGTGCCAAGTACAAGTTGTAGAGAGTGATAAGAGAGTGAAGCGTGTCGTTTCGAAACCTATCGTGACTGTTTTTGCTATTCCTGGACGATATACTCCAAATTCGATGAGCTTTTGGCTTTGTTCCTAGTAGAAACGTCGTAGAATATTATTTGGAAACAAATCTGATCGAGAATGGTTGGTGCAATTACTTCGTATTTTTGTATTTCTTATGTATCTTTGGTTCGTCGTGTGCACTACGTCCAAAGCAGGTCGAGCTTGTGTTATTTTGTTGCATGATCGAGGAAACGATGTATCCAGAGTGATGTATGTAAAATAAACATCATACTTTTTAACGTTTTCTCCTGCAGGTATTTCCCTCCGAAGCTAAACCTTGGGAGCACATCGACATGGTATTTCCAGAGAAGTAACTCATGAACATCACTTTATGTATAGATAATATATTTCGTGCAGTCTATGAATTCGGTTAAACACATTTGCTCGGGTGTGTACGAAAGGTTTTCTTGTAAATAGACTAAACTCGGTAAATATATCAAACGTTAGGAGTTATGGCACACGAGACACAGCTAATCCGCAGCCACTCGCACACATAGACACAAAACTTTTCGAAAATCTCTTGTACGATCAATTCGGTCTTCCGCTTTCGTTACTCGAAAGCATTGCATCGAACAAAGTCATTTTTCTTTTGCTTTAATTCAATTCACAACGATTCAACGAATTACCAAACATTTGTGCACGTTGGTTCAGTGAAGGTAATGTGTTGTTAACATTTATCTCCTTGGTTGGATCTTTCAGGACTGCTGTTTCACTGGGGCAATTCGCACGATCGAACTATCGTAAATTAAGGTCCGATGTTGTAGATTAGAAATATACTTGTAATGGGTTGCGAACTAGAAGCAGAGAAGACAATTGGTAATAAAAAACAAGACTCTTGTTAGGAAGAACAATAGGCACTTAAGATACATTTACTCGATTGGAAAGTCAGTTTTGTGCATCGATTACTCCTATTGATTTATTAAAGATGACAGATGATGAGTCTGATTTGAAACGCAGTCACACGATTAGAAACTTTGGGTCGTTGGAGAGTTTTAACTCTGGTAGCTAAATAAGTCCAAGTATATTTCCATCAACGAAAACCAATAAGTATATTGTGATAGTGTCACGTGCTGCATCGGTTTAACACACAAAAAGCAACGAATATGGTCGCGTTGTACATAGTTTTAGCAAAACAGCAGACCAGAAACAGTCGTAACAACACGAACACAACCTGCTGCATAATCATAATACTTAGGAAATACTGGGCATGGTAGTTGAAATAGCTTACACACTATAGTACAGTTAATAATTCGATATACACTTCAACAGGGGTTGGGCACTCGTTACATTACGGCATACAATATAATGAAATATAATACGTGTAGCATTACAACGTACAGTAAACGCAATAGTTATCCCTGATTAACGCTAATCTACTGTGTACTCGATCTTCGATAACGTCGACACAAACTCGCTCGCAAGCCTGAGAAACCACTGTTTTACTTGCCGGTCAAAGTTGCAAAACATTGACAGTAAAAATCATATCTTTTATACACTTTTGTACAAACATACATCACCAAACGTTAACTCGAACAATATTGAAACGTGAGGTTACAGAGTCTATCGTAACGTCGATTTTCTAATTTAATTTCTTATCAAAGAAATCACCACGTGATTTAGACTTCAGGACTAACAAAGTCTAGGGCTATTAATGAGGTTCGAAACAAGTGAATTTCAAGCAACAACATTTTCGGGAAAATTGTACCAACTAGGAAATGCAATATAATTGTGAAAAAAGACACAGGAAATGGGAAATCAAGTGTCGATGATCTCTCACTGATTCGAAAGGGATTAACACAATCAACTTTGCACAACTCTAAGGTTTCGCAAAATGTCGTCATATATACACAAACATATTTCACGTACATAGACTAGTACAATGGCAACAAAATGAAAATGCGCGATTACATTGAGTTTCGCGAACGAGTTTGATCCGATCGAGGAGCATTTCGAAAGATTCTAAGCAGGAACAGGACACTCTCGACAAGATTACGTCGTTGAAAGCATATCTGGCGTCTATTATCGTAGTCGCGGGACGTCTGGAGTCGGACAGTGAAAAAATAAGTACGCGGAGATCTCTGACGTGACTTTCTTCTACGTGGAACGTTCTCTCGAGTGCTTCCAGGTGCTTAAAAATCGTTCGACTTGGAAATGCAACGTGTGTGCCACTGATAAATCTAGAGTTGGACTTGCCGCTTTCCTAATTCTCTGTAAACACGTGTCCCTTACAGAGAAACCTCTTGCTGGCCGCTGTTTTCAACTGATTCGCGACACTCTAACAATTGTAGGAAGTGTTTCAGTGGACCCCTCTCTTCTCTTTCTGTCTGAAAATTATCGGCGAGCAGCTTTGTATTCGTACCACTACCATTTCTTGGCACGTCTTCCAATCTGGATTCGACATTGTTACGTTAATCTGGTGGAGAATATGACGAAATAATAATTAATGACTATTTAGAAATACTTTATTTATTTGCCATGTATTAATTTCGAATGGCAATTGTATCCTTTATTTACTGTATGGATACAGCGAACTGTGAGTAATTGAAAGAAAAAGGTGTACAGTACTACTATAGCGATGGAACACTAACATAAACGTAACACAAGTAAATTACACGTTTGGTAGCAACGGTGAAGTTACTTTTAAGATTATGTTAATTGTATCGTTTTATTCCCTATCGTAAAAGATATTAGTAAATCTAGCGAAACATAAATCATTTGTTTAAAGAAATGGTTGAGTAATATATTACGAGTTCAGTGATATAACAATAACATAATAGAGTATGCAGTAAACAATAATTTAAGTAAATTACTGTTATAGTAATAATAAAGATTATAAGAATAGACAAATTTATTTTGTTTTTCGTATTGTATTAATCGAAATAGTGAAACACAAATAATTTTTTTTGTAGTAGCTGGCTGAGAAGTATACTATTGCTACACCGATTAGCTATGCAATGGCGATTAGGGGAGTGTCTAGCTGGGAAATTGGCTTAGGCTGCTCTCAACATCGAAAGTACCTCCAAAGCTGGCCCCCCCCCCCCCCTCACTACAGCGTATAATGCCGATACGTTGACATTTAGGTATATATTTGTCCCTTCCATTTTTATGTTTCTTATTCGAGGATACTGGAATGAAAATCTTCAACGTTCATATATTTCTCATGTTCAACGATGCATTTGGACGATGCAAAACGTGTCGCGCATCTTCGAAAACGCTCCAGTAAATGCGTATCAAGTAAATGCATATCGCGCAATTGGTCAACTTTCAGATAAAATATCGTATTATTAAATACAACGACGGTTGAAAGTGGAATTGCTGCAAGCAACGAGAATAACAACGTTCAGAAAAGCTGGAATTAACTCTGTTACGATAGTTAAATAGTTCTTTAATTACGTCATACACGATTCGAGTGACTCGAATTTTAGTAAAATAATTAACGTTTCCCGGCGCTCGCAGCGAGTCGACTTTCGATCGTCGATAACATTTATCGGTATAATTTCTTCTGAAACATACATAAATATAGTTTTCACATTGCATACCTTTTACAAATTTCGACTCGTCTCATACAACAAAAGGATCCAAAATTCACAATAGAAGTTTGTCGCATTAGAACGAACATTTTGATTATTATTTCAAACAACGCAAAGTATTTTCAGTGTTCGCGTAATTGGAAATCGAACTGTGGATCATACGAATCTCGATAGTTGAAAGTTCACCCTTTGGGGACGGAATTAGTCTGTAAAATGCAAGCGTGTAGATGTTAGAATTTTTGGTTAGATTTTTTTTTCATTCGGTTCAATGATGAAATCATTGATGTTTGTCAGTCCATCGATTCTCAAAAAAAAAAAGGATCCAAATTATTGTACGATAGTGCTATCAAATATGGCGTTTCAACATTTTTTTAAAATAAGATTGTAATTTAAAATTTTTAATCAGAATTTACGTTTAAAAATCGAATCTTTGAAGAAATTAATTTTATTTCTGAAATTCTTGTATAAGAATTCAAGCGTATCCAATGACGAACCGAATAAAAAAAATGTCCTCGTCAACAATAAAGTTATCGCGACGAAGTGGTATGGAATTTGAAAGATTCAGTGACCATCTAATGAAAGGAAACTCTAATTGGTTCTACGCTTCTCACATTTCGCGAATTATTCGAATTTCTGCAACGATCGCGAATGATATCCGAACTGTACGTATCAAATGATTTTCGTTATTGATCGTCATTGGTAAATCGGGCGCTTGTTATGTTTCAATTTGTCGTTTCTTAATGGACGATTTGTTTCTTAAATTTAACCAAAGTTTAATAATTACCGAGATTATATTCATTGCTTAGAAAGTGGGTGATAAAATTTACAAAAAGTCAGATTTCCAATGTCTTCAATAAATGTAACATCTTCTCTTACAATTAGATAATTATGAAAAGTTATACAACACAAAATTAATCAACGGCAACAACTCAACGCTTTTCAAATTTGTTCCAAGATCATGACTCAAACTGCATTGCGTTAAATAAATATCCCATAATAAATACTCCAATTAGTTCGAGTCGTTTCAACAACGTTTTGCCACTCCATTATCTGTCGCTCGTTTATCTCCATTGTTTCTCAAACCACGATCTTTAACTGTCTATCTTAAAAACGATATAAATATTCATCTTGCTTTTCGTAGAATGTATTTTATCAAACTCAACAAGCGATAGTAAACTTTCTTACTGTTAGCGGTACGCGTGTCTCACGAGAAGCGATGGGATCAAGTTCAACACGTACTCACGAAATAAAGCCAAATTTAATGTATAATGGTCACTTTATGGGATTTCATCGCTACTCATGACAGGACATGCGCATGGTGCAGCTTCCAACCGGAAATCAGCCATTCGAAATGGAACGTTTAATTCGATTTCGAATGGCCACTTGTGGAAGAACCTCGAATTCGTGCTTGAAGAAAACTTTAGTACCAGAGCTCTTCGTGCATTCTGTTCCACAAAGCGTACAGTTTCGTCGAGTCTTACTCCTAACGAGATACACGGAGAAATATATAGTAGATACGAATATTCGAGACGCGAGGATCATGAAACGAATGCGCGTCCAGACATCTTGCGTCTCTTCCGATGGACTTATGTAATAATTTCGTCTTGTACTTGATCGTTATAGCTCTGTATCACGTATTTGCTCTTCGTATTTGGATCTTCAAGAAGAAATAGGGGTAAAGATAATTTATACTGGAAATATGAAGAAAAGTACTTGTAAAAAATAAGAATAATGGTGCAAGTAACAGAAGGGGAAGAGAAAGAAGTAGAAACAAGAAGAAATGAGGCTACTATTGGAAAAGAAGAAATAGAACCAGGTTAAAAAATAAAGCCAAGTTACGTTGAATAGTTTCCTCTTCTATCAATGAAATTATCATCAACAGATACATATGTATATTTGTAATATTACAGCAAATTGTATTTATTTGAAAAACATCACAAATATGCTAATATTTATCACATAACTTTATATCCATCGAATTCCTTGTAAAACTTTAGGGAGCATCCGTTACATTTTGTAGAACAGAATGAAAATAATGTCGACGTGTTTCGATTCAGTTACCGACTCCACTTCAATTTTTCGTGCGCGCGAATGACATTCGTTGCAATGAGATATCGTCAAAAATATCTGCAGATCTTCGAAACGGCTCTTCGAAGTTCACGAAAATCCGAACGTCTCAATTTTTCTTTATTATCAAGAAATCATTGCAACGAAACCCATTTCCTCCAATTTCACCAAAATTCATGTTTGTACGGATTTCAAGAAGCTTTCTCGATCCATCCATAATATTTCACAAAACCGGCACATTTCAAGTTCTTTCGAATAGGTTATCTCAAACTTGCCAATTTGCTATTCCAAACTCCCTCGAAATTCTTGACTCGAAGTCGTTCGGTCAAACATCTATCCTCTTCGACGTGTCAAATGTTTTGTCTCCGTATGAAACATTCTTAAATCTCTAGTATTAAGTCCTTCTAATGTTATCAAAATCTTTGAATAGGTCTAGCTTTTGTTCAGAAATGTCACCCGCTAGAACGTACTATTCTCCTCGTATTTAAAGTGCTGTACCCTGTCGCGACACAGTCCCGTTTTTCGTCGAAGAAATGAACGGGATTGAAACCAATCCGTGTTTCCGTAGACCTGACATTGAATTCCCACCTGACACGAGTATTCCCACTTGCGAGCTTCCAACTGATTCGGTTAAACGAGTTAAATTGTCGCCTCGAATCGTTCTGAATGTTATTCGTAGACCTTGTCGAAGTAAAGTGATAATATTCCAACATGTCCGGGACATCTAAAGACTCTCACAAGCAGACCGTGCAATCCTAGTCCAGCCGATTAGAGATCCCTAAATCCCAAATAACATTCGTACGATTCGGTAGCCTTTGTCGCGCAATTGTTTAGCCTTACGTTAATCGAACACCAGTCTCTGTCAGTTCCTCCCACGATCGTTTATATAGTCTTCTACATGACAGAACACCGTGTGACGTTGTACCTATTATCTTGGTCCACATTGTTAACGCTGAGTACGCGGAGCAGCCTCTCCGTGTCCTTGCAGACGTGTCTGGTCTGCTGCTGTTGCTTCATCAGCCTCATCGAAGTCTTCTTTTTCCTCCTCTTCTTGGTCTGCGGCAGAGTCAGCTCGAGCATCTGCTCGAACCTGAGTCGAATAGGCCAGCTAGTCTCCTCGTGTTCGTCGTCCTCGTACGTGGACTCGTTCGTCTCTCGTTTCTGCAACGTCTGGAACGCGTAGTTCGCGGGTAACAGTTTCTTCGGCTGAGTGAACGAGTCGTGAACGCGAACCGGACGCGCCAACGAGGATCTCTTCTTCGCCGGGGTCAAGAACAGCGGCTGGATCTTCAGCGATCCGGACAGCTTGGTGCTCTTCGAGTTCGTCAACGTTTTGAAATCGTCCAGGCAAGCTAAAGCTAAAGCTTTAGGATCCTCCTTGATCATCGTGGAACTAAGGGGACTGGTCAGTCGACAGTTGTTCGTACCGTTGCTTGGGATCAGGATGTTGCTTTTCGCGCACTTTTCGAGCTTGACGTTGTTGTTACTGCTATTACTGTTGTTGTTGTTGTTATTGTTATTGTTGTTGGTGCTGGTGACGATGTTCGTCACGTGACGACATTGCTCCGCGCACTGCAGGCAGTCGTAATACTTCTCGGCCACGTTTCGACGGGCTGAAGCGGAGAATCGCTCTCGAAGATACGCGCGATTGTGCCGGTCCCCCGTGTGGCCTTTGTGGCGAGACTGTTGTCACACCTCCTGGAGATACTTTAGCGGGCAGAGGATCTCCTTGTACAGAACCTCTCCCTCTTTACCGGTGTGGTCTGTCGATCTGACGTCGGCGGCGCACCGTACCATCGCGACACCGCCTACTTCTTCGCCAACCTGAATCACGATCTGTCGAGAAACATATCGTTTGAACATTGGTCTTCTGTGGCTGCTGTGTATAGTTTTCCGGTACTTATTCAACTTGAACACTGCTGAAGAATACACGTTAAAGCAACTAGCGAGAAATGACATGTCCAATAAACTAAACGATAGCTTCGTAAAGTGAAGTTGTTTCATAGCCAATTAAACATGGCGAACTTAACGTACCTGATCACGTAGTAGGGCAATCTGATCGGGCAGCTGAAGATTACGAGTGACTTGAAGAGTCTTCTGTCCAGACTCCACTCGCATAACGTACGCGCTAGGGAAGTAACCCACTCGTCCGCCTAGACACTTGCCTTTCCACCAATCCTTCTCCGATTTGTCGATCACTGTCACTTTATAACCCGCCCTGAAATAAGATCGCAACGCTACGAGTTAAAAAAGAAGCCAGGGTTGAACAGCAAGACGTTCTTTCGAACAAAAGTTAAGAAAATAGACTCAAAATTGCTCGAATAATAAATACATCGATATTTAAAAAAATTTCATTAAGAATATCAGGCTTCCAAGGGTTGAGCATGCCAGGCGTTGAACTATTCGAATTCAAGTCAGATTCTATGGATAGAACTCCGTTCAGTGATTACTTCAAGTCTAGCTCGTCCCGATGACGCGCGTTGAAATTGTACAGAGCAACGTAGAGATTGTTGGGTGGTAGGACACGTTTTCCCGGTGGATTCATGTGATTTTGATTGTTCGTATGCGGCGATGGGCAAGGAGAAGTGCTGGCCGAAGAATAAGACTTCTCATTCTCGTCTGGTAGCTCCATACTGGACATTCTGATGGCTCCTCTTATGTGCTTGTGAACACCGTGACCCTGGCCTGGGCTGCATGGCGCTGTAACAACATTCGAGGAGAGATCCTTCGATATAATGAAACTGTAAAGTACAAATTAAGTGTCATAGACAAATTACACGACTTCGAACCCTTATAAACTGAAAATTTTCTCACTCATTTATACTATCTTCCTAATACTATAATTTTGTTATTCATCGCATCAGGCATGAAGAGAATGCTTGAATTCCAGTTCACGTTAATTTGCGTTTGTACGATTAATTAATACTTTCACGTTCTACTTACACAGTCTGTTAATGCTCCCACTGTCGGAGTGTCTGGGTGGTGTGGATTCTCTTTGGCCACCGGGACAATAGTCTCGAGGACGGTGTCGGCCATGAGCCGTGCCTTCCGGAGAGTCCAGACTAAGGCTCTTCATCCTCAAGTTAAGCCTTTCCCGTCTACGTTGCGGGCTATGCGGCGCTTCATGTTCCATAATTATCGATCATAACAAGTTAGCCTTTGAAATTGTTTCGCTACTCGACGTTGACGCCATTTAGGCAAGCCAATTAGTTAGCAACAGTTTGTTCATCAAGCTGGTTGTTGTTGTGTACTTAGCGTTCATACTTGCGCGAATTTAGTTGCAAAATAGCGGCTAATTACGGCGACGTTATTTATAATAATGTCAATTTAATATTATACACGTGTACTTTGTGATAATATCAAATTGATGGGTGAAAATTATATATAAAAAAAAAAAGGAAATATCAATTAGCACAAAGTGTACTATTTATGTGCGAAAATTTGTCCACAAAATGTTTGTCAGAAGCTAGGTTCTTTTTATAGTGCTCACGCAAAGCAAGTAATTGTGCGAAAAATTAAAATACACACTTCTTTTGTTATAAAAAATGTTAAACTCCAAAAAACCATCTTTGATCAACGTAGCAGACGTGTCAATTTGCATACAAGAAAATTGCAATCTGCGCAATACATTAATTATTATTCATAAACCTTGTAAAGTTGTTAGTACTTTGATTTTTTTTATTAAATTGAATATCGCAACACGTGTTTTGGTGTCAACGTCGAGGCTGAAAGAACAGATACAACGAAACAAGGACTCCATAGATACAGTTACACCATAAATGCACACAGAAACGGTTCTTTTTAGACGACAAGTTCGACCAATAGTAGAATTCACAGAGAAAAAGAGAATTCGCAAAAAAAAAAAAAATTATTAAACAAAAAGTACAGAGAGAAAAGTGGGACACGACTCGCGCGAAGAAGTGAGAGTAGGGGTTCTGCGGAAGACACAACTTTTATTATTTACAATATTTACATGAGATATTCGTTGTGTTTTCATTTTTTTTTCGTCTTTATTTTGGTCGCGTGTCGTTCACTTTTGATCTGTGGATTCGTGTCATAAACACCGCCCGTTTCGTATTTTCCTTCATTTTTTTTCTTCCCCTTTCTTTCGTGCAATTTTACCTGTCATATTTCGTCGAATTTTTAGTAAACTTTTCTTTGTGCTAAGATAAACGTTATCAAAAATTGAGGTAGTCCTAACGATTGACAAGTTCGAAGAATTCCTTGAAGAAATTGAAACATTTGAAACGCGTTTCAAAAGATTTCTGTAAAATTTTTCTTTGTTTTGGTGGAAAAGGTGAAAGATTCGAATGGAAGTAAATGTTACAAATTTAACAGTTGGAATACAATTTGTTGAAGATGAACTAAGATTTTTATTTCTTTACTTCATTTTGCTATTTATTTTCTTAAGTTTCAAACTTGAGATTTTTTTTTATAATAATTATTGGGTTTGCAACTTATGTGGTAACCGATTTACAATGCTGATTACTTTCACGACGAAAGTAAATCTTTTCAGCGAGTTTTAAGCAAGTGATAGATTTGTTGTTATTTTACCAATTTCAATGTGTTTTTTTCTACAAATTATAAATTCATAAACCTACACGTTAAGTAAATTCATTTTTTTCGTTGGTTTTTTAAAAGATTTCTGCTCTCGAAGGTCGACAAACAATCCCAAATTTGATAAACCGTTAACAACTTCGTTTCAAAAGAAACTATGCAGTAAAATAGAACATTTTTTCGTTGTCATGAGAATTTCATGTAATTTAATTGCGAATTATATTACATTTCAAAATAATTACTGATGAAAATTGCACGTGCTGTATGATCCGATACTTATCTATCAATTAAAAATGTTTAGCAAATAAAACTCTTTTAACGATAACTGACAATTTTCATGATTATTCTAAGCTTTCATAGTGTGCTAATGTATCCTTACCTTTTAGGCATAGTCTTTTTTGAAACAACCTGTATGTATATAATAAAAGTCCTGTAAATAATTTTATCGCTTTAGGAATTTCGCTTTTTTTCAATTTGGTCATGCTGAATTTAAGAACCACTACGAATGTTTCATAACCGAATTTTTTCTATCAAAAGGATTGAATTTGACATAGTTTTCATCCGTTTGATTGAGTGATTCTTTTTCTTTATAATTCAGCAATTCCAAATTTTTGTTTTATTATTTACTATTTCGTAATAATTTCAATTGTTCTACGTGAAAAAGATATATATGTATATCTTAGGCACTTAAATCATTTAATGAAATCGTGTTTGTTACGCAAAATTTTTAGTTTCAAACCTAATCTAACTACATTGATTTAGAGTATTTTTCGCTCGTATTTAACTTCTTAGGTCGTCACTGAAACGATTAACCCCTTGTAATAGATAAAAATACAAATGCGTAGCCTTATTTTTCTACGCAGTTTCCTTCGAGGGAAACACATTTTCTCCCTGCGATAGGAAGGCTTCTGATTCCCTTATAAATAAAAGAAGTTGGACTTGTGAATCGCTTTGAAGAAGACGGGGAGACTCTTTTGGAACGTATCGTGATCTATAACGAAACATGGGTTCGTCACTGTATCTGCGCCAGCGTCTTCTTTTTTTATACGGCGATCACGAAGCTTTCTATCAACTGCTATCCAATGGAGGAGAAATGTATAGAAAAATAACCCACTATATTTGTATTGTTATCTATCATCACTATAGCTGTATAAAAAAATCCCGGTTCATGTTTGAATATCCCTCGTAAAATATGCCACCGTGCGGTGCGTCTCGCGACAGGTCACGATTTTATGGCGCGTTTCGTAGCGAAGGGGTTAATATTTTTGAATCACGGTCGTTCGTGGGGCAGTGAAGAATATCGCTCGTTCGTGTCGAGCGGTGCCAGCAGGGAACGCGTCACGACGCGCGGATCCACTCGATGGGTCATCGTTTCCTGTTGGCGCCGCGATAAAGAGGTTGCGGCAACCTCTGAGACGAGGTCGAGGGTGAGTCGTGGGTCATCAACACCAGCGGCTGTCCAAACGGCCTGGTTCCAGACATCGATCCGCCGCTGCCTCTTCCTGGTCAACGGAATTTTAACAATTCCACGGTGATTCCGTTGTCGTTTCCTTTTTCCACGAGCTTTAAATTCGAAGCGCAACTTTTTCGCTTTCAACGCAAGCTTTCCACACTTTTGGAGTACTTAGAGGGTTGCCACCGTGGACTATCTTAGGTAGGGCTATTCCAAACGTTTGTGTCTCGGGTCCTGCTCCATTTGTGAAATATCCTATTCCAAATTGTTTACTGACTCATTCATCAAAAGTTAGAGAGAATTCAGATATCCGATCGAAAATACAAATTCAGAATGTCTGTTTAGAAATTGTGGTCCATATTTGTTCAACTATTTTCAAGGATTCTTCGTTAGTGTGTATTCCACCGTGAATTAAAATAAGTACGAAGTCTATACAATTAAGGTTAAATATTACATTTTATACTTTTTAAATTGTGGCAACCCTGGTTAGAGGTATCTCGGTGTGTTATTTTTGGCCGATTTTGTTAGTCGATGCGATTCCACTCTCATTACAGAACTGATGATGATGATTCCCATCGTGCGTGATCCTTGAAACGCTTCTTTCGCGTTTTTGCGATCGTTGATGATTCGTTGTGCTTGGTTTATTTGTGTTTCGCTGGCTTCTCTT